TATATTGTATAGAGCCTAAGAAATCTTGTAGAAACAACCCTACAACAACAACTCCGATAACTAGCTTTGATCACCTTTTTCTTCTTTTAAGAGCCTTGAAAATCCAAGGATACACATTAAATCACCAAGAACACACACACGAGGGTTTCTCTCAAAGGGATGGATGCTAAAGTTAAGAGCAAACACTAATCACAAGGTAGCTTAAATAGGGACCAAGGCCCAAGACCTAGGGTTTTGCACCGATCCGTCACCGCGCCGTGACCAATACATGACCACGTCGTGGTCGGAAAAAATGTGTCTCATTAAATGATGTGGCCGCACCATGGTGATTCTCTATCACCACGCCACAGTCAGCCAAAACCCTTAAAAAAAAATTCAAAGACTAGAAATAATTAATCTCAAGAGCAATACTTGAAAATAAACATTACATGATTGATCATTAAAGTTTTTTTGTGCAACCATTAAAGTAAAATTTTACGTTTGAACCAAAAAACTACCGGTTTCTGGGAAAACACGGCTTAGTTGGCATGGTGACATGGAGACATAGAAGCTACATTTGTACATCATAAACACATCTCTCTCCATATATATATATATATATATATATATATATATATATATATATATATATATATATATTATTTTTACTGAAATTCTAAATAAATAAATACAATTTAATTAACCCTAAAGATAATTTCACGCCTCCTTCTTTTCTACATCAGTTTCTTCTTCTCATTCTTCTCCTTCTTCTCCTTCTTCATCCCGTCTCTTCCTTTTCTTCATCATCAATCAATTCATATTTTAACGTCTTTCTTCTTCATATTCGAACCAACCTTCGGAAGCAACGAGCCCCAAGCAACATTCAACCACTGATTCAAAAGCAACCTACAACCAACGATTTAAAAGCAACCTTCGAACCTTCGAACCAACACAAAAAACTACCAATAATGGTTTCGATTTTAGATTGTGTTTTTGTTCATGATTTTCGATTTCATATTCGAGTTTTAACCACTTGCAATTCCCCAGTTCAACATCATCTCCACTTCACGAAGCCACCATTTTCAGTCTTGCAACCAAGAATCAAGGAGGTTGAGAGACACAGAAGGAAAAAAAATCCCTTATTCTTGTGCAAGAACCGGCATATCGATGGGAGTTGTAATGATTTTCGATTAGCTAAAGATTCAGATTTTCCTTTTTGTTTCCAATTTAGGTTTTGTTTTTGAACTTTATGTTTTGGCTAAGGGTTCAAGACCAAGCATGTAAATAAACATGTAATGATTCAAAATAAACATGTAATGATTCAGTTTCCAAATAGATTTTAGTTTTTGTTTCCAATTTAGGTTTTGTCTCCAAACCTAATTTCTTTAAAAATTTCTAATTATTAATAAACATATTACAAATTAGAACTTTTTTTTTCTTTTCAATTAGAGAAATTAAATATCCTCCTACTTTTTGTTCCTACATATCCTCCTACCCAATGAAATGGTGACATGTGTAACATTTAATGCTTATTTAATGAGATTTAATGATATTTTAGGATACTCATATGACACATGTCATCATTTAAATGGGTAGGAGGATTGGTAGGGTTAAAAGGTAGGAGGATATTTAATTTCTCTTTCAATTATGAACAAATATTCAAGTATAAGTGAAAAGAAGAAAAAAGAAATAGAGCTATGAAAGGAAATAAACATATTTTGGATTAAAAATTTTTCTGCTAATTTCCTGAGGCTATAGTATTCTAGTTGATTTGGGTTAGGCATGAACTTAATTTCTTTGAATTTGGTTAGGTGTTGGTGTTGGTTTTAGAGGAAGATGAATGGAAGTGGAGGTGGGAGGTGGTCGCTGTAGGTCTATAATGGTCGGATAATATGTTGATGACTTCATTTAATAAATAATAATAATTAATTTAAGATTAACGAAATATATAATTAAATGAAAAAGCTATGTGGAGGCTAAGTCAAGCAAATGACTGACTGACTGCTTCATACATGTTAAAGTGGTGTAATTGACAATAAATTGTTAAGTTTAATGGTCTATTTCACAAAAAAGCTTTATTGACTAAAACGAAAAAAAAATATCAAACTTGATTGTGCTAAAGTGTTAATTTCCTTAAATTTTATATGGCCAAAAGTATATATTTATATAATAAAAAACACAATGATTTAACATCATATATCAAATACAATTAGTATCTACATTCTTATCCATAATACTCTTTCCTAGAATGTCACAAAACTTGCAATCACCAATTTCTACAAAAGACTTTACGAACTTAATTAGCTCTATTAGTAGTTGAATTTTGAAAATTTTATGAAAACAAATCACATAAAATTGAAATTTTGGAAAAATTCTACACTTTTGTCGAAATTAATGATATATTTAAAAGTAATTTAATTGAAGCAAACTTGCCAAATGCATGGTTATAAAAAGTAACGCTAGAGCTCAAATATATTATTTTTCTGATTTGCCTCGATGACTTTAAATATATTTGTTTTTGATTTTTTGATTGCCTCCTTTTTCCTTTTCCTACATCTTCTTTGAGCGTGTTTGGTAAAACTAGTTGGTAGCTAGTGGTTGGTAGCTTGTAGCTAAAAGCTGAAAGTTGGTAGCTGGTAGCGAGTAACTATTAGCTGGAAGTTGTAGCTTTTATTTGTTATATAAATGTTTAGCAAAAAGTAGCTAGAAGCTTATGAAATATATAAAATTACATAAAATGACAATTGTTTAAAAAAGATAAATATATAAATATATTTTTAAGGGAAATTCTGAAAATTGAATTTAAAACTCAATAGTTTTTCCTTAAACACTATAAGAAGTATCTTTTAGATTTGATTTTTTTATAAAAAAAATTAAAAGCTAAACGTTTGTACTCTCAAAAGAAACTTTTTGTTTAAGTTGAGCTTTTTGTTAAAAGCTAAAAGCTGGAATATCCTAAACGTTCGTTACCAAACACGACCTTTGCCCCCTTTGTCGTTTTGGAGTCCAGCTTACATTTTTATAATTTTCCATTATAAGATTTGCTAAGATTTTGGGGGCAATCATAACTTTGGTCTTGAGACTTGAACCCTCACCCACTTAAAAAAAAGACATATTTTCAGATAAATGATAGACACCAAAGGCTATTTTATAATGATATAATAACATTTTGTCAAAAAAAAAAAAACTAGAAAATATTAATATATATAAAAAAAAGTATAATGGAACACATTTTACCTTCTAATCATAGAAAAATTCAAAATAGTTTTTCTTTTTTGTTTTTTTAGAAGTTACAAATAAAATAAAATCATTGATTCTTGATGGGAAAATGATTTACTAAGATAACCATTTTTATCGTTTTGTTCACATTTAAACAACTTTTTTTTGTACACATTTGACCATTTAACTTGTTATATGTGTTCACATATTACCATTGTCACCGGCCATAACATGTGACAATGATAATATGTGAATATATTTAACAAGTTAAATGGTCAAATGTATACAAAAAAAGAACGTTGCCTCAATATGAGCAAAACGAAAAGTTAATTACCATGATAAATCAGTTTCCTCATTTTTAATAGCGATTTTATTTTTCATATTTGTTTGTATTATTTTTTTTTCAAAAGTTATTTTTTAATGTATCCATAATGTCCTAAATATTAATTAAATAGTGATCAATTCTAAATTTTACTTTTTAATTAATAAATATGTTTTTGTTTTGTGAAATAATTTATATAGCCTCTTATTTTTATCTTTTGTTTTTATGTATATAATATTTTTTTAAAAGTAAATAATATCTAACAATAAAATTAGATAAATTAAATATGTAACAATAAGTATGGATGACCCTTTAAAAAAAATATTACGTGGCAAATAAAAAAACAAAAAAGTTCTATATAATGTAAATGTATTAAAATTATTACAACTTTTTAATTAAAAGTTTATAAACTTTTAAATTTTTTTAATACAGAGTTTTAAACTAGTATTTAATGAAAGTATTTTAAAATGTTATAAAAAAAGTATTAAATTATCGTACAAAATCTATGAAACACTTTAAAAATGTTGTAAAATAAAGTTTAGAAATAATTTTATGAAAGTTATAAAAAATTATATGAAAATATAAAAAAAGTTAAAAACTTATAAGAAAAATTTAAAACATCTATAAAATATTTGGTTTAAAAGCACTTGTATTCAAATTATATGAAAGTATATAAAAAAAAAATTATAAGCAAAGTTTAAAATATTGTATTTGAAAAATCTATAGGAAAAAATATCATAAAAATGTTGAAAGAAAATTATAAAAAATCTTAAGAAACTTTTTTAAAAAATGTTCACATTTTGGCAACTTTCATTTTTTGTATATATTTGACTATTTAACTTGTTAAATATGTTCACATATTACCGTTGTCACCTGCTATAGCAGGTAATAATGGTAATATGTGAATACATTTAACAAGTTAGATGATAAATGTGTATAACAAAAAAGAAGTTGTCTAAACGTAAACATGACGAAAAAAATAATTACCTCGACAAGTCAATTTCCCATTCTTGATATTGATATTACTTTTTAATAGACAATCTCTTTGGAAATGAAATTTATTAAAAATAGCATATTTTTTGTTAAATTTCTAATGAACTTTTAAATAAATATTAAAATACTAAAAATCAAGGTTTTAAATGGTATGACGTATTTGCAAGTTTAAGCTTCAAACTCTTACAAGTTATGATGATGTTTTTCAAGATGCAACTTAAAACAATAATTTTTTATAATAATTTAAAGGATGCAATTTGGAATTCTTGTACAAGTTATTGGGTTTTAGTGTATAATAATTATAAATGTATTGTAAAATTTTAGAGTAATGTTTGATGGAGTTGACTGATAAATTTAATTATTGGATATATCTCAACGTGTATCACGAGATTTACTGATCTTCAAAGATTACTTAAAATAATATATAGTTTTATTTATTTATTTATTTTTAAATAATTTTCTTCTGATTACCATTGTAAATAAATAGGTGGGAAATGGATTCGATGGACTTTAATTAGTTGTAATGACAATGGATTTAATTGATTTGAGGGCGGATTCCATTCCACTATGTCATTTCTGTCTGCCCATCCTTCAACGTGTTTTCTGAGATTTATCGATTTCAAACTTTTTTACGTATTCACGAATTCCATTAAACAATTAATATTTTTCTTCTAAATAAATAGGTGGGATTTCCAGGTTATTTGGATCCTGCCATCCCTTCATTTATCTCACACTGACAGCGTGTTTGAAAATATAATGGAGAGCAATGAAGAATCACCGTTTCTCACCACAAACAACGTCAAAGATATCGCTCCGATTAAAGGAGTAAATGATTTCTTTATCCAATTTGGTATCGAGTCAATGAAGCTTTGGTACCTTGCAGCCCCTGCGATTTTCACTTCTGTCTGTCAGTATTCACTCGCCGCCGTCACTCAAACGTTCGCCGGTCATGTTGGAACTCTCGATCTCGCAGCTTTCTCTATAGAAAACTCAGTCATTGGGGATTTCTCTTTTGGGATCATGGTCAGTACTGTATAGTATAGTTTATCGTACTTTGTTTCAGATGTTGTTTGACTGATAATGGATGATCGATCTACAAGTTTCTGAAATTCGAAATCGAATACGATGTATGAAATTGACAGATGGGAATGGGGAGTGCACTGGAGACTTTGTGTGGGCAAGCATATGGAGCAGGGCAGTTGGATATGTTAGGAATATATATGCAGAGATCGTGGGTTATCCTCTTCGTTTCTGCTCTTTTCATGATGTTCTTCTACATCTTCGCGACTCCATTACTCCTCTTGATCGGACAAACCGAAGCTATATCTCATGCAGCAGGGAAGGTGGCGATATGGATGATTCCGCAGCTCTTCGCTTACGCTTTCAACTTTCCGATCGCCAAGTTTCTTCAGTCGCAGAGTAAGATAATGGTGATGGCTTACATATCGGCGGGAACGTTGATCGTTCATACGTTTTTTAGCTGGCTTTTCATGTTGAAATTGGGATGGGGATTAGCTGGCGGAGCTTTGGTGCTGAACCTGTCATGGTGGATGATGGTGATAGCTCAGATGATTTATATTCTGAGCGGGACCTGTGGTCGAGCATGGTCAGGGTTTAGCTGGGACGCCTTCAATGGTCTTTGGGGCTTCGTGAAGCTGTCTATGGCGTCGGCTGTCATGATGTGGTATGTAACTAACACGATTAATTACCATCATACCCCTTAACTAAAATAATAGTATTTTTTTTTCATGAACTAATCACATTCACACGTGATATGTGTTCTCTTTGACTTCAAATTAATAAAAAAAAATTGATATTTACCTTTTCAAAAGCTATTTGATAAACAAATAGCTGCTTGCTGACCTTATTTTTGATTTTAAATTCCAGTTTAAATTTACTTTTTCAAAAGCTATTCACTTGGTCTTGCATTTTTATGTTATTTAAAGTATTTATAATATGAAAAATTATCTTAATTTCTTGTTAATAAAACAAATTTTATCCCATTATGATGATGAGAACCAAATAGTTGAGGAGTTCATTTCACACATGAAGTCCACGGTTGGCACACCTAAAATATTGTCAGCGATTGACCTGCCACGTGAACAGCTGCGGTCTATCATTTTTTTTTTTGACAAATATAAGAAATGTATACAAGTAATTAAAATCATTATTGTGATCTGTCTTATTCTTAAGGTTAACCTTATGGAGACGTATTTTAAATATTTAATAGTTAAAAAAACAAATACTCGTGTGAATGTAAATAATTTGATTAAGTTGAAAATAACGTTTTTTATTATACTTTTGGCCAGTTTGGAAATATGGTATTTCATGGTATTGGTACTTTTTGCTGGATATCTAAAGAACGCTGAAATTGCAGTTGATTCACTCTCCATATGGTCAGTGTTAATTATTGCTTTATTATTATTATTATTATTATTATTATTATTATCAATATTTACTATATAATTGGTTGTATAATATTATTTCCGTTTATCAATTAACTTGTAACAAATGTTGCAGCACCAACATTCTTGGGTGGGTGGTAATGGTTGCATTTGGATTTAATGCAGCTATCAGGTTAGCTAGCTTTTAATAAATAACAACTTCCTTCAAATCCCACATATATATATATATATATATATATATATATATATATATATATATATATATATATATATATATATATATATATATATATATATATATATATATATAATTAAAGTAAGAGAATTAATAAATAAAATCGGAAATTGAATATTCGGATACAGTGTAAGGGTGTCGAATGAATTAGGGGCAGCCCATCCAAGAGCAGCTAAATTTTCAGTGGTGGTTGTGGTGATTTCTGCATTTCTCATGGGTGTTTTAATGGCTGCCGTTCTTATCATATTTCGACATAAGTATTCAGCCATATTTGTTGAAAGTATTGAAGTTCAACAAGCCGTTTATGCTCTTACTTCATTGCTAGCAACTTGTATTGTCATCAACAATATTCAACCGGTGCTCTCCGGTATGTTAAAATCCAAAATGAATGTACTCTATTTATATTAATAATAAACTCTAACCGGCATTAAAAGAAGTTCAACATTAAATATATATATTTTTAATTCTTATTCCGAAAATGTAGGGGTGGCAATTGGTGCAGGGTGGCAAGCTGCGATTGCTTATATAAATATTAGTTGCTACTACATCTTTGGCATTCCTTTGGGTCTGCTTCTCGGATTTGTAGCCAACTGGGGTGTAAAGGTCCGTAGATTTTACTCCTCCACCCATGTATTATTACATATGTCAATTATCATGCAAGTGCTTTGTTTCATTTTCTTTCAACATATTCATTATTCAAATCAACCGAATTAAAAGTTGATATTTGTGAATATGGTAGGGTATATGGATAGGCATGATGACTGGAACTGTGATACAAACTTTAGTATTGGTTTGGATTTGCTATAGAACCAACTGGGACAAAGAGGTACTTTTCACCATATATATTAATTATAATCAAAATTTTAAATGTAATTTGTTTATTGGTTTTCTTTAAAAAAAAAAAACTTAATGGGGGGTTTTATTGATGTAAATTGCAGGCATCCATGGCAGAAAACAGAATTAAACAATGGTCAGGTCAAAAAATGGTGGAGGGAGAGAAATAAAATGTTTAATGTAGTTAAGGCCCAGTCAAAAATTAATAGGTCACAAGAGCAATTAAAAAGTTTAGTAAAGTTAGGGTTACTTCTTTTGTTTTATGTCAACTTTTGATTTGAGTTGAGTTGAATTGAGTTGTCTTGGTTTTGCTAAAAATTGCATTGTAACTTCACCCTTGTTTATAGTTAAAAAAGATGTATTCAAAACATATGTTTACTGTTGTGCAATTTACTTGCTTAAATTTCTCTAATTATTAGTTATCCGACAGATGGAACTTTTCAATGGGAATAACATTCCACATGGTGATGATGCTCCTTACTGATTAAACATAGAATCATCGTTGGGTTCCTTTGGTCTCAATTGTTGGTCCGAGGCATAAAATTCACTGATGGCTTTCCCACTAGAAACTTGGTAACAATCATGGAAAATAGATCTTTTTAGACTATATATCTTGAGGCTTGTGTCGATGATCAAGTTAGACTAGAGGAAGAGCATGAGAGAGTAAGCAAGTGTGAAACCTTTATCCAAGTATAGGGAAACGATATATAACTATGTAGGGTTTTAAAGGAGGAAGGTGCATAAAGGAAGGGGAGCAGACCACAAGATGTCGTATGTTGTCTATAAAATATATATGCAAAGTTCAAGATTGTCTATTCATGAAGAGTGGGTAGACCTAAACACATATAAAGACATAATTTTAAATCCAATTTAACTTATAAGCTGGAATATAACCCGACTATTTCCTAACAATAGCTTGTAGAGTTGTAGGTCATATGTTATTTTAAGCGTAAAAAGACAATGATTTAGATTAAAATTCTCTCGATATGCACTTTTTAGCACATAAGTTATACATGATTAAGAGCATATATTTTGATAATAAAAAACAAAATGACACCATATATGTAAAGCCCCGTTCTCATTAGTAATTTACGAAATGAGTTTAATAATTAATATGAACAATTAATAACCACGAATAAAATTCTTAGGAATTATACTTATGAATAGAACAAATAAAAAGAATTATATAAATTTTAAGAGGTTAAATAATAAATAAAAATGCATTAACAATTAAATAAATAAGATTAATAATAATTAATAATAAAAAGAGTAAAATCTGCGAATGATCTCTATGGTTTGGGCCTTTGCGGTAACCTTTGGTGTTGGTCTATAATTTTTTTTTTAACTCGGGCGGTCGTTATAGTTTTATTTTGTTATGTATTTGGTCCTTGATAAACATGAAATGACAATAATACCCTTATATATATTTTCTCTCTCTCTCTCTCTCTCTCTCTCTCTCTCTCTCTCTCTCCTCTTAAATCACAAGAACCCTAAATGGTGGAGCTTTCAGTCGCCATCCACCATCACTAGACAAACCACCGATCATCATTACCGGACCGTCGACCACCATCACCGGACCAATGCGGACGTCGCCTTGGCTTTTTCCAGTGTCCGTCTCCTTCCTCGTTCTTTTCCCATCACATGTAACACCAGTTTCAGGTATATATTTCTTTTATGTTCATAACAATTGGGTTTTCAAATATGGGATTTTAGGTGGCCACGACGTGGTGGTGAAGACACCACAACTTGGACTCACCCGATAAGAACGCGCCTTTCTTTTGGACTCCACCACGTGACAAGGTGTTGGCCACGACGTGGAGGTGACCAGAATGCAAAACCCTAATTTTTCGGGTTTAGAGCCTATTCAAGGGATGTGATGGCTAGGGTTTGCTCATCGTCAACCTCTATCACTCCCTCTTGACCTAGAACGAACCCTAGCCTCCCTTGTTGGTATCTTGAAACTTTTTATGATATTTTGTGGTGATTGACGAGGAAGAAGGTACTCATTGTCTAAATATTCAACAAGCGAGTCTCCTCACCACCTTCTTGCACACATTCCGAACCCTTGTAAGTCCTCAAGTTCGTACCTTTTGTGTGCTATCCTTTTAGATCTAGACTTTTAAGCATTTTTCTCCATGTTTAAGGCGGTTTGAGTGGATGTATTCCATAAAGTTGGAAACTTTATGGATCCTTATGGTCCCTTTGAAGTTATATAGAGTTTTGGTTCTATACATGGGGTTTTGACATAATTTTTACCATTTTTACCTAACTAGAGCTCAAAAGATGCATTGGACATGCATGTCCATCAAGCAAGGGTATTTGTGATGCTTATAGGTGTAAAGAAGCCTTCTGGAGCATATGAGTGTGTGGCTTAATAGATTAAAGGTTTAATCCATTAAGTTGTCCATGATAGTTCCCACGACATGACAACATGCTCACCACGACATGGTGGAGGATTTATTGCGACTGTTTTCTCGTGAGGCTGCCACGACGTGACATATGCTTGGCCATGATGTGGTAGCCATTTGAGTTGACCTTTTAACCAAGTTGACTTTTGGTTAACTTGAGGGGATTGCTTATTTATAAAATTGCCTGATAGTATTGTCTGATTTGTGATGCTTGGTATCCTAGAGGATTGCTTGTTTATGCTATATGAAACCGACATTATTGTTGCTATTTGCTAAGTGTATGCATCATGATTGTACATAATTTGGATTTTATAGCCTTATAATGCCTGAGTTAGCCTTACTTCATGTTCCTTGTTTTGTTGTGAGCTTGGGGTAGAATCAATTATTCGACTGTCTATCGAATCCAACATTATGTATGATCAGCATACACGAGACGACCGTAGTGGTAGTAAAGGTTTCATGAGATGAGAGCGGGGTTGATAGAATCCTAGAAGGAGTGAGGAGTTAGGGGTCACTCTTAGGAGTGTGTATGCATAGGGTGTATGCGTACCCCAATTGTATTGGCATAGTGGCCTTGGAGTTTCGTGGCAACTCTTGAGACAAATACGGGATGGTGTGGAAGGTAGTATGGGCCCATACTATTGGAAGCATAGGACCCGCATACATGGTGATGAGAGGTTCCGGTTCAAGTGTTGATGGTCCGAAGAGGCCAAGATTGAGTGATGATGAGATTCGAGATTTGATCACCACCCAGGTGACCTTGGAAGTTAGGGAGGCAATTCTAGAAGTGTTCGGGTCTGTCAAGACTACAATGATTGAGATGTTTGTTGAGTGCTAGACTGTCGTTACTGAGGCTGCCGTGCCACAGCTACTGCAACCATCGCTGTTGTAGGACTTCAGGGAGGAGGGTCGATGCATTACTGAGAGTTCAGTAACACGAAGCCCTCAAAGTTCGATTGGGTCGAGGACCCAATTGTTGCCATAAGGTGGATATATGATGTTGATGGGTGTTTCTGATGGGTTTGAGCCATAAGAACATTCCTATGTGCACATGCAAACCCTAATGCTTGGATCTAGGTTTCTTTATTGTAAATGCATTCGTCCAAGACTTTATAATAACCAAAACAGATCTAGAAGATTACCTCTTGTTGCTTGCTTGAATCTTCTTATCTTTGATGCTTAGAGTCACAAGTGTAACTCCTCTAATGGCTTACAAACACCAACTAGCAAGAGGGTAGTATATGAGAGAGGGAGGAGGCACACAAAATCAGCTCTAGGGTTCTTAGAGAAGCAGTCACCGATTTTTGTAGCCTAGGGGTTCTATTTATACTCTGAGCAGCTAGGGTTTCAGTCAAAACCCTAATGGACAACTTAAACCCTAAGCAGCCCATGGAACCTTCTGGAATACAGGCAATGGACGAAAATATGATGGGCTCTCATCATAATTTCGTTCACCCCTTAATCCATTAGGTTTCCCAGCCCAAAATACAACTATCAAACATTTGACAGTTTAAGTCCCCTTTATTCAATTAATCTCCTTTAGTCACCAAATTAATTCGTAATTAATCTATGATTAATATTAATCAAATAATATGATTTCTCCTTTAATATATTATTCTTATAATATATTAATAAACCATAATACCTTCTCTCTCTCCATAAATTACCCTGTCAAGTTGCTATGGTGAAGGCAACCCAAAAGGACCATGCACAACCGGGTCAAGTATTTACCAAATATAGTTACGGGCTTAGACACTAATCCAACAGTCTCCCACTTGGATAAGTCTAGTAACTATAATGTAAGTACAATCCGATTAGCAATCGTAGCTCTCAAAGACGCTGTCGAACTCTGATCTTATCAGCAACCTGTCCTTTAGATAAGGGATCATATATTCCTCCATTCTAGATATCGTATGAACTGAGACATGGATTTTAATCATACTCTCTGTTCACGTGTTGTTTCCCGATTTCCGGTTTATGACGACTGACAACAGACTACATTTGAACACATCAACTTAGTTCCGGCTTGGCCAAGCGCTTAGGGTGTCATCACTAAATCATCGAGGGGCCCACATATATCGCTTTTATCCCACTTTGGGTAAAAGGAACGGATAAACTTTGACTCAATGTTCGCTTGTACTCACTCACCGAATCACACACAACAATACGTTTTATAACACCAAGTTACTGGTGCGTTTACATATTATCAATGTGTAACCGACTCGCAAGATACAACTCACACATCTCGGTTTCAAGAATATAAGATATTACCGTCTCACCAATCACTCGTGATAAAATCCATGAAGCGATCCAAGTGAGCGTGGGTTTAACCCAATACTCTAATCTTATAGCAGCACTCATGAACTCTGTAGCAAACTTGTGCTATGTCTAAACGCTTTAGTCAATCTACAAACGGATTCATGACAGTCTTCTTTCATTCCTACTTCCAAAGAATGAGCGACTGTGGAGGGTTTGAATAATCTTATTATTCGGGAAGTCAAAACATGCAAAGTGAAACACAAGAATAATACTAATCCTATATGGCCCCAAACTTTTGAGTATAAATAAAAAACTTTTTATTTAATCACCATATTGATTACTCATTATTTGTTGTTTCGGGTAATCAACTTCTTACTTGAATTATAACAACAATTGTCCCATGCTCTTAGCATGCACACTATGTTTACCTATGGTCCTTACTTTGTGAAATAGTATAATTGAATAACATTTTCAATCACACTCATTTCACAATTCCCAATCCTTACCACAAGTGTGAGAATACCAAATTCTTGCCACTTATAGAATATGTTAGATTCTAACATTTTATGTCACGGTCCTTTAGTAATATGATAGCGCCCAAGTCACCAAGACTTTGCCAATGAAATTACAAAGTGCTCTATTGGAGATTGTTACAAGACAATTCCATAGTTATGAAGTTTCACATT